CTTGCCCAGCGCACGCTCCAGCCCGTTGAAGGCGTGCAGCACGATGCTCCACCCGGCGGAGCCGAGCAGCCGCCCGAACAGGCAGCAGAAATGCAGCAATGCCTTCGGTTCGGGCGCCCGGGGCCTTTCCTCGCACTGCCGCTGCCCAGAAACTGCCGCTGCTACCGCTTGCGCTCCGCGCTCGGTCCGGGGGCCCGTCTCTGCCGCTGACCCCCCCCCTTCTGCGGGCGCCCTCGGCCAAGGTTACGCTGACAGCGATGTCGGTGAATGGTGATGCTGGGAATCTGGTCTTGGCGCCACCGACCTCGCGCAAGACAAGTGGCAGGAAATCGCGAGCCACACCTTCCGACATTCCAGATGCACGAGTGTATCGAGCAAGCACGCCACGGTGATTTGTAGGAAACTTCGACCCACGCGTTCTTAGACGCAGAAGGCATCTGTACACCACCACCCCTCCTCGCCAGGGCCACCCTGGGCCCCGGAACGGTGTCCACGCCTCCCAGCCGAGGCCAGGAAGGTCTATGTACGCTGCCGTGGAGCCCAGGGGGGCCCTGGCCGGGCAAGGTGGTGGTGTATTGGATGGCACCCGCGGAGCGACCATACACGATCCTCGATCCTCCTCCTTCTCGATCCTCGATCCTCCTCCTCCTCCTCGATCCTCGATCCCCGACCCTCGCTGCTCGATCCTCGAACCTCGCTCCTGCTGCTGCTCCTCCTTCTCCTCCTCCTCCTCCTCCTCCTTCTCCTCCCCCTCCACCTGCGGCGTTGGCCGCGAGCCAAACACGCAGGTGGAGGAGGAGGAGGAGGAGCGAGGTTCGAGGATCGAGGAGGAGGAGGATCGAAGCTCGAGGATCGTGTTGCCTCTCGCAGTCGTTGGCGCATACGTCTGCGGCTCGGCCAAGAAGGCGCCGGGCCCACCGCCTCCTCCCCTGCGCGAAGGAGGAGGAGGGCCCCGCCGCTCCCGCCGAGAGCACAGGGGGCAATCATCGCGACGGCGAGGAGAAGGTGGAGGAAGAGGAGGAGGAGGAGAAGGACGAGGAGGAGGATGAGGAAGGGGAAGAGGAGGAGGGGTAACAGGAGACGGGGGGGAACAGACGGGCGCGTTCCACCACTCGCAGGGCAGCTGCTCGCAAATGGCCAGGATCCGCCGCGGGGGATCTACGGCAAACATTACATCGAAACAGACACGTGGGTTTTCTTCAGGCGTGTTTGCGAGTGGGCACTTTGTGGGTAGTGGAACGCGCTCGGTGAGAGAAAAGGGAGTGAGAGGGCATTGGATCAAGGACCCTTCCATGTGGTAAGCACGGATCGCAGACGGGCATTGGGCTGAAGCTGGCAGCACGAGGAACATGACGAAGAATAATGCTAAGACGAAGAAGACGCGAAAGGAAGGGCTCGCCCCAAACCTGGGAAACGGTGTAAAGTATGCGTCGGTCATGCTGAAAACCACGAAGGGCAAAGGAAGCATTGTCAACTTCAGGGGCCAGCTTGGATTGTGTAACGCATGCTATCATCACATCGGTGTCTTCGTGCGGAGAGGTCGCGAGGCTGGACAGAACAGAGTCGCAATATTCGGATCACGGGATGCAATTAGGATCATCACGAAACTCGGCGCCTGGAGACCGCAGAAAAGAGTTGACCAAGGAGCTGCATGGGGCCATGCATGCAGATTAGGGGAGGTCTCAAAATTGCAAAATGAGCGAACTCATCCTTCGAGGGTTGGCCCAAGGGTCGCAAGAGGTTCGACAATGTCCTAAGAAAAGGCAGCACACTGAGATCATTCGGGACGCCCACGGGCATGTGCGACATGGCAAAGCTGTCATCGCTGAATAATATGCGTAACTGCATTACTTTACAACCGCGAGATGTCATTAAGACCCCCCAGAGTTATCGGTAACACCGCACCGATATCAATAGATTCCAGGGGGGGTAGCCGCGCGATAACTTTAGCACAGCGCCGAAAAACATAACAAACTATATCCACCTGCCCCCCGCAACCGACACCAACAAGAAGGAACGGATTGAGGGCGGCTCGTCCTCATCCTCATCCTCATCCTGCTCCCCATCATCATCATCCTGCTGACGGCGGGTGATGGGATAGCCTTTCCCCGTGCGGGAGGTTTTATCCTTTGCCGAGGGGGGGAGCTTCTTAATGACTTCTCGCGGTTCTTCTACTCAGAAAGGCTGTCCAGCCAGATGCCAAACCAGACAGCCAGGCGACTGCCAGAGAAGTCCCGGCGTCCATCGACGCCGTCCTCAAGAGGATGACAAAGAAAAAGACCTGCGCTGAGGATGGCGCTGCCGCGGAGATGGCGCTGCCGCGGAGATACTACAGGACCGCGGCGAGGTGATGCTCGACACCATTGCAAGCCTTTTCTGCGACCTGCTGAATGGGAAAAACCATGTCCCACAGGCGTGGTGCAAGACGCGACTTGCAGTGATATTCAAGAAAGAAGATGGGCCTCTCCTTAAGAAAAACCGGCCCATTGCCATCATACCGGAGCTCGACAAAGTGCACAGATCTGTAATGCCGCGTATCGACGCGTTTATGGATCGACTGGAAAAGCCTCAAGAAGTTCCTCTACAGGATTATAGGTGTCGCGACCTCATTCACTGACTGCATGAAGATGGTCAGCGAAATACTGTAGAATGGGGTTGGATTGCATGGACTGCTTCGCTGGAGTTAGAAAAATCGTTCGACGAGCTAGATACAATACAAGACTTGTGCTCTCGGCCATCTGCTTTCGTGCAGCCACACCACAGACAGGTATTTCCAAATTCTCCGTGGCGTCAGACAGGGCGACCCCATGCCACCAGCTCTATTTACAAACACTGTGCTCGAAGCGATGCCAGAGCTTCGCGCACACTGGGAAACTAAAGGCTATGGCACAGCGATCGGGAGTAATGCGTTTGAGAATGACCGAATATCACACTCAATGTTGGCGGGCGACATGACGCTAGTTGCTGAACCAGGACAGGCCCTGGGGCAAATGTTCGCTGGCATCACAGAGCGGCTTGGAAGCATTGGCCTGCAGATGAACGCAGATAGATTAAGCATTCAACGTGCTGGCTAAAGAACGTCGCCGAACAAGAACATCGCTGTCGCAAAGGTACCGTGCCGCATGTGTTGCTGCGATCAAAGGTTGGCAATTCTTGGAACGATGTTCACCATGAACGGGAATACGAATGCGGATTTCTAGGCTCGGCTGAAAGTGGGCAGGGCGAAGTTCTACAACTTATTCCCATTGTTAGCTGAGAAAAGATCCGTCCGAGGCTTGGCGTCTGTCTCTTCGATGCCTTGTTCCAGAGATCCGACGCTCCCAACAAAAATTGGAGCGGGCGGTTTGGGCCTGCTTTCGTCCTCCCGGGGCCCTCGCTGGGCCTCGGGCCCGTCAACAAACCACTCAGGACGAAAAACCGGATCTTGGGAAGTGATCCAGGCCTCCAAGGCCCACGCATCGGAAAAAATTGAGCAGCCGCATGTCTGGGCCTCAGCCATGGCCCTGAGTGGCCTTGGAACCTCGCCCCCAGCCCCGATACCCATTGCCAACCCCAGGCCCTCAGCCATTGCCTCAGCCGCAAGCCCTGGCCGCAGCCGTCGGCCCGAAGCCCAGCCGGTGCGTCAGCAGCACCCTACCAGTAGCCCCTGCACTGCACGACACATCCCTATCAAGTCCCCGCAGATCCACACGACCTAAGCTTGGGACTCGGGGCGCGCATTCCGTAGACCACCTCAAAATTCGACCATTTGATATTGAACAGCGCCACTCGTGCCGTGCCTCTGCGCTGTCCAGACGCGGTCGGAGCGCCCAGTTCATCAGTGCACGTAGGAGGCAGCAACGCCTCTACTGTAGCCTCTACCCTCAACAGAGCCGCTTGCGCACACAAGCGCAGCAGCAGTAGCCTCCTCCCCATTCCTCCTCCTCCTCCTCCTCCTCCTCCTCCTCCTCCTCCTCCTCCTCCTCCTCCTCCTCCTCCTCCTCCTCCTCTATGGAAACACACAATGACATGAACATAAAACAAACTCGGAGGTCCGCGCGGATTTCTCGGATCGGCGTTGGACCCGCGCCAGGGGCGGTGACGGAGGCGCCGCCAGGGGGGTCCAGCGCGGATCCGAGAAATCCGCGCGGACATACGATTTTGTAATGTTTATGTCATTGTTCGTTCCCTTATCCTCCTCCTCCTCCTCCTCCTCCTCCTCCTCCTCCTCCTCCACCTCCTCCTCCTCCTCCTCCTCCTGTTTCCCTAGTTCTTCAAATTCCGTTAGGCGGTCCTCGCGCGGCAGGGAGGGCGCCTTGAAGCAGAGCACGTTCTTCACCGTGAGGCCGCCGCCGACCATGCAGCCGGCCGCTGCAGCCTCGGCCTCGGCCTCGGGAGCAGGGGGGAGCGGGGGGGGGAGGGAGAGGGGGAGGGGGAGGGGGAGCGGGGGGAGAGGGGGCGGGGGAGGGGGAGGGGGGAGGGGAGGGGGAGGGGGAGGAGGAGGAGGAGGAGGAGGAGGAGGAGGAGGGAGGAGGAAGAGGAGGAGGAGGAGGAGAAGAAGGAGGAGGAGGTGGAGGAGGGGGAGGAAGAAGAGGAGGAGGAGGAGGAGGAGGAGTTGGGGAGCGGGGTGGGGGAGGCATGCGAAATCTCTGAATGCATGGCGAGCCTATCCGCAAGGCATCGGCTCATTAAAACCCCGAGGCCCAGAACAGTGGACCCGCCAGCTTGCTGATTCGTCCCTTTGACGCCCGCCCCTGCGATTTGCGTGAACCTCTCAGCGCTGTCCGTGCGCCCTCGCCAGCACAAGGCCTCAGTGCTTGTCTGCCGAGGGTCCACACAACGCCTCGGCAACGCCTCGATGACCCTCACCATCAACATGTCCTGAGTGTGGTATTTAGCAACGCTCGCGATTTTTAAGTACCGCTCGCCCATGAACCGTGCAAGACTTCGAGGTCCGCACTTGCAGTCAAGCTCTGGGTTACACCAAGCAGCGTGCATCAGGGGGGGGACGGGGACAGGAGTGAGGCTGAGGGACAAGGTGAAGGAGCGAAGAGGAGAGCATAACCACTGACGGCGACGCCATGCAATGGATGAGATCACTTGGCAGGTCGAGCAATCGCTGGGTACCAGACGGGAAACGCAAGCGGATCAACTCACAATGCGTCATGGGGCCCTGAACCGACTCTTGCGCAGAATGGACAAGGCACGGAAATGCATGATACAGAGAAGAATGGGAGATGACACGTGGAGCGGGAAGTGCACGCACGCACACGCGCAAGCACCCGCGAGCGAGGAAGGGGTGCAGCACGGGCCGCTCACAATCTGACCAGGGAAGGAGAGGGTGGAACGTGCGAATTACCCGAACCTCTCGCACTCCGCGCCCCGCCCAGATTCTCGGGATCAGCGAACACCGCGTGCGTGTGTGCGTGTGCGTGTGCGTGTGTGCGTATGTGTGTGTGTGTGCTATCATCTCCGCTTTGCACTGTCTGTTCTGCTTACTGGTTACAAACATGTCTAGAGCAACAGACAAAACAAACTGCATAAACATAAACGTTTGCCGGTTCGTGCGGATGTCTTGGATCCAGGCTAGACCCCCTCCCAGGCGCGCGGAGCACGCCAGGGGCGGCGCCGGAGGCGCCGCCATGGGTTCCCAGCGCAGATCCAATAAATCCGCGCGGACGTTTTACAATATCATGCTTATGCAATGTGTTGCTCTTCGACTGCCACCTCGTTCCAGCCGCCCAGCCTTACTGCGCACCCACCTGCTGCCACTCTGGCATGCTTCACCGTGCACCCTTTGCGCGGCCCTCGTTGCCCACGCCCAGGCATGCGCATGGCATGGTCGGTTCCGTTTGCATCCCCGCCCCGTCTTCTGAGGGACTGGCCGCCTGGGGACTTCCTTCGCCTCTTTGCTGCGCGCGAGGCCGCGATCGCCAGAAGCGCGTAAGTGTTCCCTCCCGTTTGGCGGCGGCTGCCGCCTTCCCTCGCTGCCCCTGCGCCTGCTGGCTGCGCTTGCTCCTCCAAGACGGCCCGACGTCATGATCTCTTCATAGCGCCGACCCTCAAAGGTCTGGACCCATTCCCCTGGACTGGGTTTCCATCCAGAAAATTTGTTTGACGGCCCCAAGGGCCGGCAAGGGCCTCCGGAGGCCGAAAATTACAACAAACAAGCAAAAACGCCATGCTGTGTTGTTATTGCCCGAGGGGTCTGGGCTCGCCGCCCCGCCCATGGCCCCCGCCCGCCGCCGCCTCGCTACCCGGCGCCCCCCCCCCGTTGGTTGAGCAGGGACCGACCGTCCCAGCAATCCTATAGGCCTACCACGATATGTTCTCAGAACCCAGACGTGCTCTAAGAACCCAAACAATTTTCTCAGAACATAAACCAGATGTGCTACAGCAGCAAGACAGACTCAGCCATACATGTTCTAAGTACACGTCGTGCAAACCACAAAAAGGTTATTAGAATGTTCTTTGGTGGGCCTGTAGGCGAACGGGGACGCTTCGCCACTGCTTGACGTTGGGCCGCGCCCGCGCCACTGCTTGACGTTGGGCCGCGCCCGCCTCCGCCTCCGCCCCAACGGCCTGCTGCCCCAGCCGGCCCGCCTGTCCCGTCGCCTGCCGCTGCGCTGCCCTGCCCCGCCACTGCCCTGCAGAGGGTCCGGCGGCTCCTCTGCCTTTGCGTAGCCTGACGCGGGCCCGCCAGGGTCAGGTCGGGCATGCCCCCCTTACGCGGATTGTAGACGGAAAAAAACCCCAAACGAGTCAACAAAAAAATAGTCCCCAAAATGGTTTGACTATTTCTGAACATTAGAGGGACGTGCCCGACTTGACGCCATGGGCGACTACCGCACGGTCGTTCGCCTTCCTCGCCCGGCCCGCGACGCGCCGAGTGTTTGGTGAAGTGGTCGCACGTTTCCAGCCACGAGCGGTGCTCTCAGAACCGCGGGCGCAGTGTGGAGACAACACGGACACCTCTTAGACGGACGCCGTCGCAAGGTCCGACCAGAAGACATCACGGACCACTCCGACCACGGCGAAATGGTGCATGGCGCTCTGGCCAGAACGTCCCGGCTCAGCATGATCACGGCCAGGGCGAACTATCCCTCGTAGCCTTTAAGCCGCGGTCTGGATTGCTCGCGGCGCATCGCTTGGCGATGGTTGTTTCCTCGCCATCGTTCTCTGGGGGAAATCGCTGGCGTCCGAACCGTTCACGACACAAAGACCCTCACCGGTCTGCTGCGGGGAGCTCAGGAGGGGTGGTGAGGACGGGGTCGGGAGGTGGAAACGCGAGGTTGCGACGTCTGCGAAGGGCAGGAGGGAAAAGGGGGCAAGACACAGGAGCGCGGGCGAGAGCGAGGCCGGGGGAGCTGAAGAAGGCACATCGGCGTACACATGTAATCTGCCGAAGGTTCGCGCGGAATTCTTGGATCGGCGCTGGGCCCACGTCTCTGGCGCGCTCCGCGCGCCAGAAGCGGCGCCAGATGGGGCCTCCAGTCTATCCGACAAATCCACGCGGACCTCCGAGAGTTTACGTTAATGCCCTGTTTCTTTTCTCCGAAGGAACGTCAACGTTTATATCCATATCCCGTGCCTCTTAGATGTCCTTGGAAAAAGAGGCGCCGCAGGGCCGAGGCGCACTGGATGTGGATAAACATCGAGCCTTCTGGGGCTATATGTTGATCCACATCCTGTGCGCCTTGGGATTCTGTGGAAGGGATCCCGAAACTCCGAGCCGCAATGGATGTGGACACGGCCCGACGCCAGTCAGTGCGAGCGGTGGGCTGCACAGGAAGCTCATATGGGCATGCATGGCGGGGGAGAAAATGACGAGAGCAAAGGACGGAAAAAAAACCCGATCATAGCATGTCGGTCGGCGCGGGAGTGCCGCAGAAGGAGATGCACCTGCGTATCCGCAGAGGGGGGGGGGGGGCACACGCAGGGAGACGGGGCAGGGCCCGGGCAACGCCAGAAGGGGTCACCACCAGGGGGGGCGCCAACCCCTCGAGGCAAGGGGGCCCCCTCGATCCAGCATGCAGCTGCCGAGGACCTCTGAAGACGCCACAAAAATGCGCCAGGCCTCCTCGATCCTCGATCCCTCCTCCTCCTCCTCCTCCTCCTCCTCCTCCTCCTCCTCCTCCCTCTTCCTCCTCCTCCTCCCTCTTCTCCTCCTCCTCCTCCTCCTCCTCCTCGATCCTGGATTCCAAGGGAGGAGGAGGAGGAGGAGGAGGAGGAGGAGGAGGAGGAGGAGGAGGAGGAGGGGGAGGAGGAGGAGGAGGAGGAGGAGGAGGAGGAGGAGGAGGAGGAGGAGGAGAAGAGGAGGAGGAGGAGGAGCGAGCCTCGGGAGGAGTGGTGCCGCCCTCCCCGCACGCCCGCTCGCCACGCGCCCCACGCGCGGCAGCAGGCTCACACGCCAGCGTGCGCCAGCGTGCGACGGCCCCGCGGGCTCCGCACGCCGCCAACGGCCTCAGTCTGCCAGCGGCTCGATGGAGACCGCGGTCTTGCCCGGGATCGCAGGCGCCAGCTTCTTGGCGAGCCTGGCGATGGCGGCCTTCCCCTTGGCGGAGGGGTGGCCGCATGCAGCTGCGAAGCTGGAGGCCCTCGCAGAGGCCCCTCGCTCGCGCACCAGGTCCGCCTCGCGCTGGGGCAAGATCTTGACCAGCATGTGCGCGTCCTGGCCCGCCTGCTTCAGCACCTCGTTGTGGTTGATCGCCGCCGAGACAATCGAGCCAGGGCACTCGCTGGCGCGCCCGACCCATCTGCAGCGGCTGCACCACCGCTTCCCGTCTGGGCCCCTCCAGTCGCAGACGAGCTTCGCCACGGGCTCGCCCACTGCAGCTGCTTTGGGGGCTGGGCGGTTGGCCTTGACGACGCTGTGCGTGGTGTCCATGCCGTCCATGACGCCGCCCACGGCGGCCACCCACAAGCCAACGCCCTCGACCAGCTTGTCCGCCATGATAAGACGACGGCGGCCTTCATGAGCGATGCGACCAGCTTCAGCCGCCGACTTCGCAGCACGATCTGCGTAGCGATTGCCGATCCAGTCTCTGTAGGTGATCTTGCCCTCGTTGACGACTGCACGCTTGGACTGATGTGCGGGCACCTTCCTGACCGAGAGCCCGCCATCGCCATCGCACAGGCCACCGAACTCGTCCAGCAGCCGCCAGACCTCGCGCCACAGGTGAGTCCACGCCGCAACGTGCGCAGTGGTGCGCCGAGGCCGCAAGGAGGAGGGAGGAGGAAATCTGGAGCCAACACAGAGTGAGGAGGAGGAGGAGGAGCGAGCGAGCGTCCTTGAGCGAAGGTCTATCCTCACGCCCCAGGGCCGCGCGGCCGCGCCTCGGGCCTCTCAGGCTCGGCGTCGGCGGTCAGGGTGGCGTCGGAGTTCATCTCGACGGGAGCGCCGTTCGTGGCGTCGTCGAGGTCGTCATCGATGAGGCTGACGGGCAGTGCGACAAGCAGCCCGTCAGCGGGGTCAGCGAGAGCAGGCACCACAGGAGCTTCCGCGTCGTCGCCAAGCTGGACGGCAAGATCGTCTTCCGTTTGGAGCGCGGCAGCAAAGTCCAGGTACACCGGGTCGGACGCACCAGGATCCAAGGCGGCCACCGCCTCAGCACCATGAGACGCATCGGGAAGACCAGCGTGATCAGCATCACCAGAATCCAGAAAAGCATCAGGCTCATGGAGGAAGTGCAACGCCTCCTGCACCTCGTCCTGGTTCAAGCCCTGGGCCTTAAGGAACACCATCGCCGCCTGCATCTGAGAGCCCGAAAGCGGAAAAAGAGATGAGGGTGAGGTAGATGCGGAAGGCGCCGACGACAAGGAAGACGAAGCAGCTGACAGCAATGCCGAAGAAGGGGTTGAGGTGCGCCGCGTGAGCTCTTGCAACACTAGCTTCGCCGCGTAGCGCGTGGTGTCGGTCATCTCCTCACGGGACGCGAGCTCAGCGGCAGCAAGCGAGGGACCCGCCACAGGACCAGTGCCAGCATCCGTGGGCCCCAATTCACCAGAAGCCCCTTGGTGTCCAGCGCCTTCAGAAGGAAGCACTTGAGCAAGGGCATCGTGATCATGGAGAGCACCTGGCCGACTGTGATGTGGATGAGCGCCGCCAGGACGAGCAGGGAGACCACCAGCAGGAGAAGACCCCGAATGCGTAGCAGCCCAATCACCATGAAGGAAAGGCGCTCTGTGATCGTGCGGGGGGACAGTCGCCACTATGTCATCAGCGTAGGGGTCGAATGGCCCCAGTCCATCGTCGCCAATGAGGAACACCCCAGGGTTGCGCAGCAAGTACTGGATGTAGTCGAGCTTATCCTCTGTCAAACTCGGAAAGAGATGGTGCAGAAGAAGAAGGGCTTGGCGAAGCTGATTTGCAGGAAGGAGGAGGAGGAGGAGGAGGAGGAGGAGGAGGAGGAGGAGGAAGAGGAAGAGGAGAAGGAAAAGGAGGAGGAGGAGGAGGAAGAGGAGGAGGAGGAAGAGGAGGAGGAGGAGGAGGAGAGGGAGGAGGAGGAGGAAATCTGGAGCCAACACAGCGTAAAGATGAGGAGGAGGAGGAGGAAGCGGAGGTGCTGGCCGACCGGTTTGTGGCCGCCCCCCGTGGCACTGCCCTGGGGGGCAGCCGTCAGGGCGAGAGGTCGAGAGAGGCCAAGTCCAGGTGGAGCGTGCCCAGACGGCGGCCGATCAGTACGTGAGGACTTCTCTCGGCGGCGAGCGAGAGGGGGAAGTGAGAAGGAGACGGCCTTCTCGGGAGGCGGCGGGGCTTCTCAGGAAGCCCTCGCGCCTTCTAAGAGGCTCCCGGCGTCTTTGGGGAAGGCTCCACTTCTCAGAAGGCCGTGGGGACTTCTGGGCCTTCTGAGAACCCTGAGGTCCGACGTTGCAAAAAATATGCGACATCAGACAAAAATCACGAGCGAACCCCCAGACCCCATCGTTCTGCGTCTTCTTCCAAACTGGATCGATCTGTGAGGGCCTCCCGGCCGAGATGGAGCGAAGACGCCCGTAGCGAAAAAAACGCAACGCCAGGATCTCAGGGAAGGCCCGCCCCTTCTCACTTTCACCCTCCCTGGGGGTTCGCCGCCGAAGATCCCGGACGGACTTTGCATCCTCCGAGAGAGCAGGAGAAGTAGGAGTAGTAGGATGAGGAGGAGTAGGAGTAGGAGTAGGAGGAGTAGTATTAGGAGGAGGAGGCGGCGGCGGAGGAAGAGGAGGAGGAGGAGGAGGAGGCGGAAAAGGCGGGGCGATGAGCACCGGCTGGCCGGGCGAAGGGACAACGAGGGCCTCGTGGCCAGGCCCTGGCAGCGCGTAGCGCGAGAGCTGCAGGAGGCAGGCGTCTCTCGCCTGGCACGGTGGGAGGGGCGGGGAGGTCGCGCGGCACGGGCAATGCGATACGGAGGAAGGGCCCGTACAGGGCAGAAAGACGGAGGAGGAGGAGGAGGAGGAGGAGGAGGAGGAGGAGGAGGTTGAGGAGGAGGAGGAGGAGGAAGAAGAGGAGGAGACGGAGGAGGAGGAGGAGGAGGAGAAGGAGGAGGAGGAGGATGCCAATAACGAGGATGAGGACACGCGTCTGGGATGAAGGCGCTGACGGCAAACTGCACTGTGTGGCGGTGAAATTGAAGAGAGCGTGTCGTCGTGACGCTGCCGTCGTGGCATGAACTTGACGCGTCGGGAAGCAGAATGGCTATTCCGCCAATGACTCTCTGCCCCGCCTGTAGCCTTCCTTACAACCTGTTCCGTTACTGCTGGTGCTGTGCTGGGTGGTTCACCTGCAAATGCGGTTCCCACCCGCACAGTCGACAAACGAGCAGCAGGGCCCGGGAGGGGAGAACTAACGGCCATCGTGCAAACGGGGTCCACCCAAGCGTGAGGTGAGCACTGCTCCCGCCCGAGGGCTCCCAGCCAAAACTTGCATGAGTTCCCACAGGACTTCCGTGCAGCATGGCGCCGTCGCTTTGTGGAACTGCACGAACCTTAGCGAAGCTGACGCTACGGCAGTAGGCCACAATTCAGACCACACTGCAAGCGGCTGCGAGGAAATTCTGCCTCTGCCATGCGTGGGCCAACGACCCCCAGGGACTCCTGTGCCACTTGACACCACCTCGCCTGGACCGTCGGAAAGGACGGCTGGCTCTCCTGCCCCCGCACGCTTCTCCGAAATTCTTATCATTGTGCCCTTCGCAGGGCACTGTGACACCATAGACCGGGTGGCAGGCCCTTCCTCGGGGGAGGATACAGATGAGGACGAGACAAAAACAATGAGGAGAACGTTGCCTCTGCTGCGAGCGCCTCGGCGACGAATGTGGCCGCGCGTGTGTTCCGAGCCCCTTTCAGAATCCCACCACCGGGTGGAACACGGGACGCGTATTGATGTGCCGAGAACATATCCTCGTGTCGCCACTGCCGAACGGGGACCCCAGGCGTGCTAACATCTCCGGTGACAGGTCTAGAACACTTCTACTTCGCGCGCGCGGGGCCGCCCCTCTGGGGAATCCTCGGGAGAAAAGTACCCTGGCAAGGTCCTGCCAACGCACCCCAAAAAATACTGGAACTCCCTGGGCTGGTCTGGTGGACCCCAAACCCCATGACGGTCCAAGAGGGCCCCGCATAGCTGAGCGACCAGTCCACGACGCCCAAAATTGCCACCAGCCGCAGGAGTGCTCCAAGAGCCTTCCCACAACGGCCTCCAGACGCCAAACTCAAGTAGTTTCTTCAGCTTCTGTAAATAAATTGGGGCTCTCAAATTTTAGTATTCCGACCCCCCAGAACGTCCCAAGAGGCCTCCAAGACCGCCCCAGAGGCCCCTCAAATGGCCCCAAGACGACCAAACAGGTGCCCAAGACGTCTCAAGAATGCCCCAGGCGGACGCACGAAGGCCCAAAGACGGCCCCAAGAGAGGCCCAGGAGGGGGAATACGAACCGAAAGGCCGAGCCTTCCGCCACAAGGGGCGCCCAGGAAGTCCCAAGAGGCCCCCCAAAGGCCCCAAAACGCTCCCAAGAGGCCCTCCCGGGGCCCCAAGAGGCCCCCCAAAGGCCCAACATAGGCCCAACTGGAACCAAAAACAACGCCGCAAAGGCGTCAGAACCGCCTCCAAGCGGCTCCCGACAGGCCTTGACTAGATCCCGACGAAGACTCAGACTTACCGCCCAAGCGCGGTGGCGGGAGGGGCCGAAGGCCATTAGATATGGACTGGCGGAATGAACGAATCGGTTTGATCTCACTTCGCGTCGCCACTGCCACAAGAGGACACGGGGGGATGCATGCCTGTATCCCGTGCGTGTCGCTGCCTACCTGCCCCACGAACGAGACCGAACCATATCGCTCGCGCGTGCACATGACATCGCCGTGGGGGACACATGTTTTGCCGAGGCACTGCGTGACCTGTAATTTGCGCATGCAGGCTGCCTCGAGGTCCTGTCCGCAAACAATCGGGACTCGCCGAAGAAACGGAGAAAACGCCGTCACCATCCTTGTTTCTTCCAGTGCGAAAGACCCGATGAGCAAGTCTGCCGTGCCCTCCAGGTGCCCCAGCGCTGCTGCACAGTGTGATCGCAGGGGCGGCGAGCAAAAAAGCCGCGGTGGACGGAGGGGGTGTGCGTGAGGGGACGGCGAGGGCGGTGCTGCCCGCTGCGGTTGCTCCTTGCTGGCTGCGGTGCTGCTCTGCGGCCCCTCCTGTTCCCCTCCCTGCTGATGTGCTGCTGCCGCCATTCTTGTTGCCGGCTGCTGCCCCCTACCTTGCTTCGGCGTGACCCCCGGGCGTGTGCAATCTGCTCCCAGCGGGTGGGCAGCGGTGGATAGAGCTACCTGTGAAGTGCGAACTGGGCGTCGGAGGGTCCGGGAACGGGGGGCCCTTAGGCCTCAGAGGCGGTCGGCGCTCCCGTCCCAGCCCAGCGGGGCCTGGCGTGCCCGCGCGCGACCGGGCGCTGCCAATTGCGAAAAGGGAGAGGGAAGGGGCGATGGCAGGCGCAGCGTCGCAGCCCCCATGTGATAAAAAACTAAAGCGTGATTAAACATGTCCAAAACTCAAAGGTCATATAGCCAACTCAATTGTGATGAGAAACTCGAGTCTGATAGAACAACTCACGTGTGATAAACAACCTGTTATCTCATATCCTCGCCCCCACAGGCGACGCCTGCAGCGCCTGCCGAGGAGAGCGAAACCAAGGGCACCCGGAGCTCGGGCGCTGGGGAAGCGATAGAGGCTGGCAGCCGCGAGGAAGGGAGCGGGCCTGGCCTGTCGGGGCGCGGGCCTAGCCTAAAGGGGGGGGGAAGATGGCAAAACGCAAAAAAAAAAACAGGAGGAGGAGGAGGTTGAGAAGGAGGAGGAGGAGGGGATGGAGGAGGAGGGGGATGATGATGATGATGATGATGATGATGATGATGATGATGATGATGATGATGGATGAGGAGGGAGGAGGAGGAGGAGGAGGAGGAGGAGGAGGAGGAGAGGAGGAGGAGGAGGAGGGGGAGGGGGAGGAGGAGGAGGAGGAGGAGGAGGGGGAGGGGGAGGGGGAGGGGGAGGGGGGGGGAGGGGGGGGGGGCAAGCTAGGTGTGCTCGCGTCATATCTGTCATCCTACCCCTCCCTCCCATCCCTTACCATTGCGCAGATCCCCTCTCTACTCGCACAGTCGGATGCCGACCAGGACAATGATCCCGAAAGGGTACGCGATGCATTGTAGAGCACGGCATGGCATGGCGTAGAAGAGCACCGCAAAGCGTAGTATCAATCTATCATTGCATTGCACGCCGTGGCATGGCACGGGAAATGACGCCAGCGGTGCTGCGGGAGCACGAGTCGAAACGAGCGGAAGCGCGGAAATGAGGCCAGCGCTGCAGCGGGAGCACGATTCGGAAAGAGCGGAAGCACGGAAATGAGGCCAGCGCTGCAGCGGGAGCACGATTCGAAACGAACGGGGCCCGAAAATGAGGCCGGCGCCTCAACGAGAGCAGCATTTTGAAACAACATGCAGGCGAAAACTCAACTCCGGGGAAGCCTGTGTGTAACAAAACAATACGCGGGGGGGGGGGACACTTTCAAACCGTCACCAGGAGATGAGGGAGAGTAGTAATCATATTGAGTAATTGTGGAGGAGGAGGAGGAGGAGGAGGAGAAGGAGGAGGAGGAGGAGGGGGAGGGGGAGGGGGAGGGGAGGAGGAGGAGGAGGAGGAGGAGGAGGAGGAGGAGGAGGAGGAGGAGGAGGAGGAAGAGGAGGAGGAGAAGGAGGGAGGAGGAAGGAGGAGGGTGGAGGAGGAGCGAGGCGGCGGCAGGGGCGTGGAGCCCAAGGGCGTGGGCATTGCACACATTCGCCCGGGAGCCTCGCCGAACTCATAGGGCAATCGGAGCCCCTGGAGGCATGCAGAGCCCAGCCCCTGTGGCCCTCCGCTCCTGCTACAGCCGCCGAGGCTCGACCGCCCCCCCGTTGCGAATGGGCGTCCCAAGTTCGGACAACTCGACCGCGCCGCAAACAGCGGCGTCCGGTCGGTTCAGTTCGGCTGGTTGCTGTGCCGTTGCCGCGCCCGGTGCGTTATATCAGTGGATGGCGAGGTGAGTTGAATCTGTCCTGGCCCAGCTCTTACGTGGGTTATAAATGCCCCAAGTGGCTTAGGGGGGGTTGGCGATCAGGACTAAGTGGGTTCCGCCCTCTTTGCGGAGTTGTCGAACCCCAGCAAGGACCTGAGGCACCAGAGAAAAGCCCCAATCAGTGGATGGTTTGATGAATCGTGGGGTCCTTAAAAAAATCGATAAGGAGATCGACCAGGAACCCGGAACCCACCGAAATCGGACCGGAACCAATGACCAGGAACCCGGGAACCCAGAAACAGGAATCTGGGAACCCAGCCCGCCACCAAAATCGACGGAAGACTTCGCCAAATCTTTCAATTTCCGCTGGGACCCCTTCAGTGCAAGCACTGATTGGGGCGTGTGTGACCCACTCGTAGGCTAGAGTAGGCCAGCTATACCTGTTTGGAAACACTGATAAGCCCCCTATTGCGGAGGTTGCCGAGGGTCTCAGCATGTAGCCCTACAAAATCGGCCAGGAGCCGCGATGAAGCCAAATCCGATCAAAATCAGTCCCTGGACCCACCCCGAAGTCCATCTGGTGCAGTGTCACCCCAGATCCGATCCTCACGGTCCCGCAGCCCGAAAACGGCCCCTGGAGGCCAACACAAGCTAATCAACTTGTCCGAACCCAGAACCGCCTCCCCGGTCAGCGCGTGTGTGTAGAAAGCCGCCCCCCCTAAAATTTCTCGCCCGCGCTCTTTTCGGCCTGCCAGTTTGCGAAGGTACCTTCCAAGACGGCTTCCAAGACAGCCAAGACGACAACAAAACGACTCAAGATGGCCCAAGACAGCTCAAGAAACTCTCAAGAGAGCCTCAAGACGGCTCAAGATAGCCCTAACGGGCCTCAAGACGGCCCAAGAGGCCCCCAAGACGGCTCGAGAGAGCTTCAAGAGGCGTTCCTGGAGAGCCCGAGGGTACCACACCCATTGATATCACGCAGATGTTTAAAAGGTCTTGAAATTCTCACCTGCTCGGGTTTCTGACCACCCATGACGGCCCAAGACGGCCGTGAACCGCTTCAAGAGCACCAAGACTGCCAAAAGAGGCTGTCTTGGGCTTTCTTGGGCGGTCGGGAACCCAAGCATGCCAGAACCTCACACTCCTCAAGCACCTTTGGAACAACAATGGTTTTTGACCCCTCGGCCTCTCCTGGAGGGCCTCTTGGAGAACTCTTGGGACGCCTTGGGGGCCTCTTGATCTGTCTCGGGGCCTTCCTGGGAGCCTCCCTCATGGCCTCCAAGACTGGCTTCAAGGCAGCCAAGATGACGCCAAGATTGCCCAAGATGGCTCAAGAGGCTCCCAAGACAGCCCCAAGACATATCAAAATGCCCCAAAGATGGCCCAGGAGAGCCCGAGGAGGCAAGCACCATTGATGTCCTTCAGGTGTTTGAAGCATGCTGAGGGTCTCACCTGCTCGGGGCTCCGAACGCCCAAGGCGGCCCAAGAAGCCTCCAAGGAACCTCCCCAAATCTCCAAAACAGCCCAAGGGCCACAAGCCGGCCCAAGAGGACCCAAAGATCGCCCAAGGGGCTCCCAAGAAGGCCCCTCAAGAGGAGGGCACCAACGCGGCCTAGAGAGGCCCTCATAAGCGAAAGACGGGCCAAGAGTCCCCTGAGACGGCCCAAGAGGCCCCAAGAGGCCCCGAGGTGCTCCCAAGAGGCCCCCAAGAGGCCCCCAAGAAGCTTTCGCGAAGCTCCCAGCAGGCCCCAAGGAAGCAACGAAAAGGCCCCAAGAAGGCCCCATGAAGCCATTTTCTCCTCATCCTCATTTTATCTTTGTCCTCCTCCTCCTCCTCCTCCTCTTCCTCCTTCTTCTTACCGTGCGGACGAAGACGAGTTCGGGATCACGACCCGCCCCAATGGAGACTGCTTGTCGGAATTGCACTGTTCCTGCACTCAGCCTCCTTCCTGCTGCGCTGTTGCACAGGCGCGGTGGCGGGGTTTGCCGCGGGCAGCTGGACAGAACCTCTGTGGCATCCACTCCTAAGCCCCCTATCCCATTGGCAACCCTCGGGCGGGGGGCAATGGGGCGTGAGCTAAAAAAGGGGGCGAAGGCCCTCTCAGACCCCCGAAGTCGTGATTTTTTCATGACGTGACTGCCAGGAGCCTGGACCCCTTCGCCGGGACTGGTTTTTGACGGTCCCGAGGCCCGGCGAAGGCTCCTGGAGGCCGCACATAGCGGAACACCTCACATCGTGTGTGTGCGTGTGTTTTTCACAACGCGAGTAAGTCTGGGAAGGGGAGGTGAAGGCCCTTGCTCACCCTCCATGTAAGCCACACCTCATTCTGGGCTCTCGAGGAAAACCCTCTCGCGGGCCCGGGTCTGTAGCTCGCACGGGTCCCCCCAAAGGAGCGGGCTGGTGGCTGCCGCAGGTGTCCCGCGACCGCCCCGGGTCCAACTGGACGCGCCCGGGGCTGGCCTTCTGCTGCATCTTCGTGGCCGCGAGGAAGTTAGGACGGGAGCTTGCTTCATATTATAGCGGGGGCCCTAACCATGGCCTCGGGACCGTCACACAAGAGGCTCGGGATGAAGAGCCCATCCCGGAGAATGGGTCAGGACCTCTGGAGGTCGTCGTGACAGAATCGCGACGTCGGGGGCCTGGTTTGTGGCATCTTCGGGGGGCCTCGTCTGTCCCGGCCCGTCGCGTCCCTGTCCGCGTCGAATCTATACGGCGAATCCATACTGGACTCCTCGAATACGCCTCGAATCCACCTCGAAGCCACGCCAGCTCCGCGTCCAGTCGACAGCGAGCCCGCGTCGGGCGCAAGAAACGACACCATGTTTGGGAACAGACGAACGCCCCCAGAGATGCCACGTGACGCGCCTTCTCTGGCCAGGTGCGGTCGGCGCCCGCTCGCTCCCAAGCCCCTGTCCTCCCTGGCTCCTGGACAGCCGCCATCCTCTGGGGCCCCCACCTCCTCTCGCCGTCAAAGACTAGACAAGGTATTTTTGCCAATTCTCCCCTCCCTTGGGGCCCTCCCTTGGCCCCGGGACCGTCCCACAACGACTCGGGATGAAACAGCGGTCCCCGGAGAGGGGTCCGGACCTCTGGGGGCCGACGCAGCGAAGAAAAACATGGCGTCGGATGGGCGCGGGGACCTCCACTGGGATGGGCGCGGGGCTGCTAAGCTATAGGGGGGCTACCAGTGGATGCCAAGGTGGGTGATACCCGGCCTAACCTAGCCTACGAGTGGGTTCCACATGCCCCAAGCGGCTCAGGGGGATTCGACAGCTCCGCCAAGTGGGCGGAGCCCATTTGGCCCAGATCGCTGCCCCCCCCAAAGCCACTGGGGGCATTGGCAACCCACTGATGAGCAAGGTAAGGCCAGATAGAACCCACCTTGGCATCCCCTGCTCACCCCCCCTCATCCCCTTAGCAACACTCGCGCCCATCCCAGCAGGTGCACGAGGCCGCGCAGGCGGCAGGCCGTCGCCCCGGGAAGCTGCGCAGGCGGGCGGGCGACGCCTGCATGCTCCCACGCGTTGCCAGCGCAGACGCGGCCCCCCGGTCACGTCTGGTGGGTGACGGGGGGCGGGGTCGTCTATACTACGAAACTTTGTTCCCCACGAGAAGCGACCACCAACTATGCCCACCTGAGCAGGCGCCAATCGCAGCAGTGCCAACCCATGCAAGCAGAATGCGGGGTCGTTTAGGCTTACGCTGTGCCCGTCACGCTTGCATCTGAACCAAGGGTTGCCCCAAACAGATGCGGGCACGTAGTGATCAGACGGTCGTGGGTCCCGAATGGATCTGCGCAAGCACGATGTGAAGCGTCATATGTTTAGCCACGGTTCGTTGTGGGATATGGCAAGTTTTCTCCAACGCGCGTTACAACGCTACGCAAAAATAGTGGGAGCAGCCTGGGCTAGCATAGCTGTGGGGCAAGGGATCCACGTATACCGCTTACACCGTTCAACCGCTTGTGGACGAGAAGTGGAGCGAGGAAGGAGTGAGAGAGGTGGGGGTGGGATCACATGGGCAGTCCGTGCAATCGGTGGCGCGGCTTATTTGACAGGAGGAGCGGAAGAGACGGTGACGGGCATGAAGAACGGGTTGAATGAATAACATGAAGCGAAACAACGCCCGCCACCTCGTGCTCTGAATCCCCCCGCCCCGCCTGGTCGAGGGCCAGCCGGCTGCAGCAGAAGAGCAATGTCTGCATGCATCGCAAAGCCTCCGAGAGGGCGGATTCGGCAAGGGGAGATCAGGCGAACGAGCGAGGACACAGCCATATGTTTACTGCGCGCTTCAGGGAGATGCCAACATCGCTATATCAAGAATCGTTCTGAACGGCTGCCATGGGGGGCACGATTAGTAGCAACGCTTTCATGGCACTGGCCACTCAGTGTGCGCCCTCAAACGCTCCGCTAGATGTCATTGCCCACAAAACTTGCACTCGCAGGCCCTTTTGGTGAGTAGTACCATAAGAGGGAGGGTGCGCCGCTGGATCTCCCCAAGGGGGGGTGGGTGGGACCCCCCCCCCTCCTTTCCCCGATCCGTCGTCGGGGACCCCCCCCCTTTCCCGATCCGTCGTCGGGGACCCCCCTCCCCCCCCCCCTTTCCCGATCCGTCGTCGGGACCCCCCCCCTTCCCCGCCTTGCATAAGGAGAACGGGGGGGGGTCCGAACCCTTCTCCGCCCCCCCCCCTTTGGCCGCCAAATTGGACCCCCCGTCCACCTTCCCCCTTTCGCCACGGCGCCCCCGAGCTCCCAAACGCGACCCCTACCACCCCTAACACTAATCCTCGCCCCTACCCTAACCCCTAAACCCAACCCCAAATCCGAACCCTAGCCCCGAACAGCACTCACTACTCAATACGCAGTACTCACTACCCACTACTCACTTTTCGCTACTCACTACTCACTTCTCGCTTCTCACTACTCACTACTCGCTACTCACGACTCACTACTCAGGACCCCCGACTCGCTACCCACTACCCTCTACCCCCTACCCCCTACTCCCTATTCACTACTCATTTGGCACAACTAGCTAAACACGGCTCACTACCCGCTACTCAATACTCACTACTCACTAAACATAAGCACTACTCAGTAGCCACTAACCACTTTCCACTTATCACTAGTGAGTACTCACAGTTCAATACCCACTACTCACTGCCCACAACTCACTACTCACTATCCGCTGCTCGCTACTCCTTACTCCTTACACAGTACCCGCTGCTCACTACTCGCTACTCACTTCTCGTTACCCCCTACTCGTTCTTCGCTACCCAATGCGCAGCATTCACCACCCACTACGCACTACTCACTACCCACGACTCGCTACTCATTAGCCACGAGTCACAAGCCGCTACTCACTACTCACTATGCAGTACTCACTACTCACGACTCACGGCTCACGATTCACTACGCACTACTCGCTGCTCCCTACGCACGACCCACCACTCAGTACCCAGCTATCCTTTCTCACTACTCACTACTCCCTACTCCCTACTCACTAGCCACTACTCACTACGTATTACTCATTACTCTCTACTCGCTGCTCCCTACTCGCTCCTCTAAACTACGCATTCCTCACAACGCCCTATTCGCGATCCACTATTCACCACTCGCCACTCCCTACTCGCCACTCGCTGCTCGTTACTCCCTACCCGGTATTCGCTACCCAATACGCAACATTCACAACCCACTACGCACTACTCAAAGCCCCCTACTCATTAGCCACGAGTCACAAGCCACTACTCACTACTCACTATGCAGTACTCACTACTCACGACTCACGACTCACGGTTCACTACGTTCTACCCGCTACTCCCTACGCACTACCCACTACTCAATACCCAATTCTCCCTTCTCACTACTCCCTACTCACTACTCCCTACTCACTAGTCACTACTCACTATTTACTACTAATTACTCACTACTCGCTACTCCCTACTCGCTCCTCCTCATTACTCACTACTCACAGTGCCCTAGTCGTAATTCACGATTCACTACTCGCCACTCCCTACTTGCTACCCACTACTCAAATTACCAACTCCCCACTACCCACGATTCACTACTCACTACTCAGTGCGCACCATTCACTACTCACTCCTCACCCGTCACTACTCGCTACTATCTACTCACTATTCACTACTCACGATTCATTATTCACAACTCACTATCCCGAGGACCACCCCCCCCCCTTGCGGGAGAGACCACCTCCTCGGTTCCCTGTTCGGCGCAAGGGGGGGGAAGGGAGCGGGGGGGGGGGGGGTCGACCCCCCCCCCCCCCTTCCAGCGCCAGGGGGGGGAGGGGGGGAGTCCAGACCCCCCCCCCTCCCTTCCAGGGTGGGGGGGGGAGGGAGGGGTTCGGAACCCCGCCCCCCCTTAAGGGGGGGGGGAGGGGGGGGAGGGGGTTTGAAAATCCCACCCCCCTTTTGAAGGGGGGAAGGGGATAGGGGGGTTCCGACCCGACCCCCCCCCCTTTTCAACTACAGGGCGATCCAGTGGCGCGCTTTCCATAAGAGGCCGACATGCACATCACATCAATGCACGTCACATCGTGCACATGCAATAGACCGAATCGTAACCTCATGACCCCAAGTTGTCCTGCCCAATACATTCGAGATCGAACGTGGCATACGCTCCAACTGTGGACCTCGACCATCGGGCCAAAGGGCTCAACCATGAACTCATACTGCAATGTTCACGTCCTCCAGGGCTGGTTTGGCCCCCTCTCCAGAAAAGGCCGTCATGTCTACTCCATCTCTGCAATGACACCCTGCTCAAAGCAGCAAGTAGCTCCACATTCGCCTCCTCCCTCAAATTCTGCTCCTCACCCCCTCCTCTCACCAAGCAAGTGCTTGGTCTAACTCTCTGCCCATCGCTGCTCATCGTCACGATCAAGATCACCACCATCGTCGACGCAGCCGACAACGACAATGACGTCAATGTCATCTGATTCGGGGCCTTCACCATCGTCGTCGTCGCGTTTGCGCATCCTTGCAACTGCCAGCACCACCAGCATCATGCTCGAAGCGGCCTGCTGCAAGCACTGCTCGTCCATGATGCCGTGCATCAACAGCGACAAGGCGCTCAGCAGCGAGGCCCAGGAATCGCCCAGCATCGCCTGCACCTGCTGCTGCTCGAACGTCAGCACTCCAGACAGCGGCGTGCTGTGCCTCGCAGAGTCGAGGCCATCGTCACGGCCGCCCCCCTCCTCGTCACGCTTCCCCGATCTTCCTGCTATGGTGCTCCCAGATCTCTGACGTCGTGATTTGTTCCTAACATCGAACCCCACTGGTCTATAGACCCCTTCTCAGAAGCCATGGCTTCGTCCCGAAGTGTCTTTGTTCGCGGTCCCTGGGCCCGGCGAGAGCCCCGACGAGGTGGAAAATTGCCCACAAACCTCCCACCAGGATGTTTCGCAGCGAATGGCGGCTCGCTGCGGCGGGAGCCCCCCAACTGCAAGACAGAGCGGCAGGCCGAGCGGCCGGGACCACCTCTGGGGAGGGCTCCGGTGGGGAGGACCGACTGCCAGAGTCGGGTGCGCAGCAGAGGGTGGCCAGACATATTTTTGATGGGCCACAGGTCCACCACCACTACCATGAGTAGGACGGGGGTAAAGTAAGGATGGGGAGGTCGTTGCCCTCCTCCTCCTCCTCCTCCTCCTCCTCCTCCTCCTCCTCCTCCTCCTCCTCTCCCTCTCCTCATCCTTCTCCCCTCTTCCTCCTCAGTTTTTGCTTTGGAGGAGAAGGAGTGGACACCACCGCGCCAAGTCCCATCGTAAAGCATGCCTGCTGAGAGCGCTGCCACTGCTTCACAGGCATGACATCCGTTGCCAGAATTGGCCCCAAAAAGGTCGGCCAGGAAGAGCGGGGCTAGCACACCAGAGCCCGCGGACGGACGGAGGGGGGGGGGCAGGAGACGCATGGAAGGGAGGAACAGCGGAGGCCGTGCACTATGGGAGATGTTTGTGGACCTGGCCATGATATCCACACACGAGCACACGAGCACACACACACACACGAGCACGGACACACACACACAGGCAAACACAAAAACTCACAAACACACAAACAAACCACACACACACACACGCACGCACGCACGCACGCACCAGTCATCACCCACCCTCTCATGCGGCCCTGACAGACGCGCGGCGGTCCCTCGCGACGACGGGGCCGCCGTGGTCTCTTCGCGCGGCAAGAGGAGATGGGGGGGGTCAATAGAGGCCTCCTGGATTGGGTCGAAGATGCCCCGCGATGCATCGGCGATGCGCTGGCGATGCATCTTCGGCGTAGGCAATGCATCGGCGACGTCGACGTGAAACAAATCGGGCTCCACATCGAGCCGCATCGCCGATGCATCGGCGATGAGGCACGATCCTCCGACCCCATCTACTCGGACCCTATCTGGGAGGCCTGGAGTCAATCCGCGGCCTCAGAAGTCCGACCCTTTCCCCTGGCGCCTGTTCCTGACTATGGCATGGGAGCCGCGAGTAGTCACAACACTGTGACAAGTCTTGCTGATGGACATCACCACGGGTGGGCTCGCCGTGCGACGCTGACGCCCCCTCACGACGCGGCCGGCGCAAGCTTTTTCTAAGATCCGCTTCTGATGTTCCTAGGACCGGAAAGCAACCCCCTGCTAGGATAGTCGCGGGGGGTGCTAAGGGGACAGGGGAGTTATGAGTGGACGCTAAGGTAGGTTATACCTGTCCAAACCTGGCTCATCAGTGGGTTGCCAGTGCCCCCAGTGGCTTGAGGGGGGATAGCGATCCAGGCTAAGTGGGCTCCGCCCACATAGCGGAGTTGTCTAATCCCCCTGAGTCACTTGGGGCATGTGTAACCCACTTCTAAGCTAGGTTAATTCAGCCATGTATAAGCCCCATCGGCGTCCGCTGGTGACCCCCAGGCCCTGTCCCCTCGGCAACCCCGGCGCCCATTCCAGTGGGACCGAAATCGGAGAACACCGCCCGGATTGACAAAAACCTATAGTCGCAGATCTGGGTCCCCTGGCTGGCCGAACCACGCCGATGCACACAGCGAGCCCCTCCATCCCCGGGGCCGCCCCACGGCAACCCCACGACCGAGCACCCGACGGACCGACAGCGACGCCGACAACCAATCCGAGACCGCCAGGCCGCGGAAGGCCGGACGCGAAGAGCGAGGCGACGCAGCAACGGCACCACGACCGACTGGAGCGACCCGACCTCGGCTACGCGCAAGAGTGACCCTGGCTACCCAGACCCCCTCGCGTTGCTCAAAGATCACGACGGGATTTGCTTCGCTATTGTCGGTCTCTGGGGGACCTCACCAGGCCCTGGGACCGTCAAAAAACGACTCAGGATGAAACACTGGTCCCCTGGAAGGGGTCCAGACGTCTGGGGGTCGACGTTTTGAGCAAAATCACAACTTCGGGGGTCTGGGTAAGAGGGGCCTTTGGTGCGCGGCTTGTTGGGGGCCGCGGGGTGACCAACACACAGGCGCGCAAGACGCTACTTTCGCATCGCGCTCGGTAGTCGGGGGACCCCACTGTGCAGCCGTCTCAGAAGGTGCCTCAAGAGAGGCCACGTGGTCTTTCGCCGATGTGTACTCTGGGAAGCGAGGAGGGCGAGGGCGAGGAGGAGGAGAAAGAGGAGGAGGGGGGCCTCCTGGAATGGCTCGGGTGCCTCAAAGAAGGCTTCTTGGACGGCAGGAGGGCTCCCAAGAAGGCCCCCCGTGATCTCTTAGAAGACCCGCCCACCCACTGGGGGGACCAAGAGGTACCGATACCGCTGATCCGCGGACCTCTCCTGGGGCGCGTTCTCACCAGCATTTCGAAGCGGATCCAACGGTGGCGACGAGGGCCTTCCAGGAGGCCGCGCAAGGCGAAACGGAACCAACGGTAGTGATATGGGCATCTTCCCAAACACCCGACGTTGTGATTTTGTCCCAACCATCCTGTGGTGGTGGGTCCTCGTTTTGAAGAGACAACGCCCCGCGTTCCTCAGTCCTTCCTTCCTCCCCCTCCTCCCTCCTCCCGTCACCCTCCTCACTTTGGCACACCCCTCACGCGCTTCGTGGCCCCATAGGGAGCTCCACCGAAGGTCCCAGTGGAGCATTCCGCATACAGTTCCCCCGCCCAGTACAACGTTTCGTGGAGAGGGAGCTCCACCGAAGGTCCCAGTGGCAGAGGGAGCTGCATCGAAGGTCCCAGTGGCGCAGTCCGCATGCGGTTTTCCCGCACAGTACAACGTTTCGTGGCCCCAGAGGGAGCTCCACCGAGGGTCCCAGAGGCGCAGTCCGCATGCGGTTCCCCCGCCCAGTACAACGTTTCGTGGGCCCAGAGGGAGCTCCACCGAAGGTCCCAGTGGCGCAATCCGCATGCGGCTCCTTCGCCCAGAACAACGTTCCGTGTCCCTATAGGGAGCTCCATCGAAGGTCCCAGTGGCGCAGTTCGCATGCGGTTCCCCCGTCCAGTGCAGCGTTTCGTGGCCCCAGAGGGAGCTCCACCGAAGGTCTCAGTGGCGCAGTCCGAATGCGCTTCCACCACCCAGTACAACGTTTCGTGGGTCAAGAGGGAGCTCCACCGAAGGTTCCAGTGACGCAGTCAGCATGCGGTCCCCGCACCCAGTACAACGTTTCGTAGCCCCATAGGGAGCTCCACCGAAGGTCCCAGTGACGACGGCCGAAGTTCCCAGTGGTGCACTCCGCATGCGGCTCCCCCACCCAGACACCGTTTCGTGGCCCCAGAGGGAGCTGCACCGAAGGTCCCAGTGGCGCAGTCCGCATCTGGTTCCCCGGCACAGTACAACGTTTCGTGGCCCCAGAGGGAGCTCCACCGAAGGTCCCAGTGGCGCAATTCGCATGCGGTTCTCCCGCCCAGTACAACGCTTCGTGGCCCGCGAGGGAGCTCCACGGACGACGATACCCACAACTGCGGTACTCACTTCTGCATATGGTTGGGTTCTTCGCCAAAGCTAATTTCAACGTCGGCCCCCCGAGGTCTGGACCCCTTCCCCGGGACTGGTTTTTCGTCTGGACTATTTTTTTGACTGTCCCGAGGCCTTGTAAGGGCCTCCGGAGGCCAAAACAAAAAGCGAAACACCTCCCGTCGCAATCTTTTCGCAGCGCAAGGGGGTCTGGATTCTCCTCCTCTGAGGCCCGCGAGCGCCCCTGTATTCAATGGCGAAAAACGGTACAACATATTTTTTTCCGCCGTGCCTGCCCCCGGGCGACTGGAAAGCTTAGACCCCTACGTGGCACCGTAAGGGTATAAACTTTCCAGCTGCCGTGGGACACGCGCCCCCGACAACGAAACAAGTGATGTTATACTCTGTTATACCGTTATTCGCTCGTAGATGGATGGCCACCGCGCGCACCCCCCCGTGCGTGCCGGCCGCGCCACGCCTCGACGGCGCTTCGGTCGGCGCGTCACCCCCCGCTTCGCCCGAGGGGCACGGCAGGGCGGCCCGCAGGGCGCCGAGGGGCGTGACCGGGACGCCGGCGTCCTGGCGCTCGTTGGGCGTCGTAAACCCAGACCCCATCGGGTAATGAATCAGGACGGGGGGTTTTCCCAGATGTTCGACTTTTGGGGGCCTTTACCGACCCTCGCGACCGTCAAAAAACGACTCAGGATGGAAAACCAGTCCAGGGGAATGGATCGAGACCTCTGAAGGTCGACGTTGCGAACAAATCATGACGTCAGGGGTCTGGGAACGGGGGCGCGATCAATGGAGGGGGAAGAGAAGTGCCACTTTCGGGCCCTAAAGGCCCCCTTTCTGGGCCCTCAGGGGCCCCTTTAAGGGCCCTTTTCAGCAGCCCTCGCTGCTTCCCAATTCATCGCCCCTGCATCACGCGCGGCCCAAGCTTGTCGCTCGTCGCCCCTTCCGGCGGCTCGAAGAAGTGGCGTCCCGAAGTCGCTGACCGAGAATCAGCTGCAAATTTCTGGGCCTCTCGGGGCCACCCTGGCTGGATTCGGTTCCACGTTTTGGCCAGAACGCATCCCAAGACACGTCGAGGATTTTTTTGTTTGTCGCGCCGGAAGTTCTTCGCAATCCGAGCGCTGGGGCCGCCAAGAGACGGTTTGGGACAAGAAATGCCGGTCCCATGGAAGGGGTCGACTGTCTTGGCGGCGCGAGGAAGCACGCCGGCATGGACATAAACTTCCGAAGCTCCCCGCGGATTTCTTGGACCTGCGGTTGGCCTCCGATCCCCGATCTTGTGGCCCTGGATCCCCGATGGTTAACCCAAATTGCTCCGACGGAAAGACCCCGCATGATAATTCTCTCTGCTAGCTGGGAAAAAGACCTCACCGTCGTCCTGGCGATTGGTCAGGCATCCTTACTGTCCCTTCTGCGTATATATCTTCTCGCCCTGGCGCAGGCCCTCCTCCCGCCCCCTACGTTTCCCCCATCCTCGCCCTCCTGTTTTTCGCGCCCCGCCACCTCCCCCCCATTTTATTGCATGAGCGCGCGTGTCGATTTTCCTCGGCGCCGTCGCCGCCTCGGCCAGCACGGGCGCGTTCTCTAATTGCCGCGTCGCGCAGCCGTCGGGACAACCCCGCGGGCCAGGACGCCGGGGCAACCGCGCGAGCCGCTGGCGTGCAATGCCAAGCCGCTGGGACAACCCCGCGGGCTTCGAGCGGGGCGCAGCCGCGCTCAGGCGGGAGGCAGCGCGAAGCTCAGCTCTGCCGCGAGCTGCTCCGCCTCCGCCCTGGGCCGCTCCGCTCTCTTGTCGAACTCCTCGAGCGCCTTCCGCAAGGACGCCGGCGGCCCTCGCCCAAGGAACTCCCGCGGCGGCGGCCGCAGGATCAGCATGTCCCGCACGCGCGTGGCGCGGGGGGGCATGACGTTAGAGGTGCAGCCACCGCTGCTCGTCCGACGTGCCTGCGCGGCCAGCGTCCTCGTCTCTCGCGCAGTCGACGGTGCTTGAACATCAGCAAGCTCCGCGTCCGCGTCTCGGCCTGGCCGTCGTCGTCGGCGTCTTCGGCGCCCTGTCGCAGCACCTCGGCGAACTCCTAGTAGATCGGGGACTCCTTGAAGCCGCGCGCCTGCAGCCAGATCCCCTGCGGTGGGGTGCGGGGGCGAAAGAGCTTGCCAGCCGAGCACCCCTCGCGCCGCTGCTCGCCCTCGCGGTGGAACTCGAAAGACACGACGGTGACCCGTTGCTCCTGCGCGAGTCCCAGCATGCTCTTTAGCTCTTCCTGCGGGGCCGTGAACCGCACCTCCATGCCGACGTGGGCCGGCAAGACGCCGTGGATGCCCCCCGTCCAGTGCGTGTTCGGGACGTTCAGGAGGCGCCGACCCGCGTCGGGATCGCCCTGAATCGAGCCGCACTTGCCCACGGCCTGCGAGCAAACGAGGGGCGCGCCCGGACGCAGGGCGTCGCGACGAGCGCGCGCGTTTATCCACCTCGCCAGGGTCTCCCAGTATATGCCCATGCCGTAGCCGAGCCGAAAGTTCTCGTGCTGGCGCCGAGGGCCCAGGACGCCGTGGCTGTCCGAGGCCGACGCCTTCTCCCAGGAGGACCAGACCTCCAGCGGGGAGGGCTTGCCCTCGCGCGTGCAGCTGAGGAACGTGATCAGAGGCCCCCCGGCTCGAGGCGCTTCGTGCCCTTCAGCTCGAAGACGCAAGGGGTCTGAGAGAAGACTTCGACGGCGTGCTTAATCCCCACCGTCGGCGGGCCCGCGTACTTGCACGGCCCGTCGTCGTCCAGGCGCTCGCTCGGGTCCGTCAGGAGGCCAATGCTGCCGGCGGGCTTCAGCTGCAGGAAACTGCCGAAGTGGTGGCGCGGCCGCTAGTAGGTGGACTCCTGCACGTCGTGCGTGTCACTGCGTCCGCGGCATGCGCGAAGAGTCCAGCGAGTTGCACAGCGCGGCTGCCACCATGCTTATCTCCTCGATGGCAAGAACGCGGGCGAGCCCCCACAACCACTTCAACCTCTTCTGCATGCCCCCTGGCCGCAGCTTCGCGTTGATGTATTTCTGCACTCGCATGGCACAGGCATTGTGCATCGTCCTGGCCTTGGCAGTCTCCGTGGAGATGTTCTTCGCCTGCGCGTTCGAAAAGGCAACGACCATCATGCTGGCCCTGCCCGGCGCCGGCGAGGGCCACGCATACTCTACGACTGGGAAGGCGATCTTCTGCACCACGTGCGTTTTCCCCGAGCCGCCCTGGCCTAGCAGGAGCAAGTGCGTGACCTTTTTCTCGGCTTTTTTTGCGCGTCGCCCCCCCAGGCTTCGTCGCAGGCCTTGGCGAACTTGGCGACGAAGAGCGTCTGGTACCGCGTGAATCTATGGTCCTCAGGCAATTCAGCGGCCACTTGGGCGATGTACGCGATGGGCGTGGAGCACACGCCGTCTCCAAACTTGCGACGGCACGACTTGTTCGCACCAGCAAACTTGTTCGCACCGGCATTTCCTCGCATTTCGCTCCCAGACGAAGCTCCCGCCTGATACTTCATCCAAGTTCAAGCCTGCGGAGCCCCAAACTGACGACACTTACAAGTTTTCGAACGACCCGCTCGGATTACTCATGTGAACTGCGGGCACAATAGGGAGGGGGTTCCCGCCTGAGACTTTCACACAATGCACTCACAGACGAAGCTCCCGCCTGATAATCCCGCCAAAGTCAAGCCTGAGGAACCCAAAAATGATGACAGTTACAAGTTTTCGAATGACCCGCTCGGATTAGTTATATGAGCTGCGGGTATCATAGGGAGGGGGCTCCCGCCTGAGATTTCTGCAGAATTCACCAACAGACGAAGCCCCCGCCTGATAATTCCTCCAAATTCAAGCTTGAGGAGCCCAAAACTGACGACACCTACAAGATTTCGAACGACCCGCTCGTATTACTCATATGAACTGCGGGCACCATAGGGAAGGGGGGCCCCGCCTGAGACTTCTTCAAAATTCACCTACAGACGAGGCTCCCGCCTGATACTTCCTCCAAATTCAAACCTGAGGAACCCAAATGTGACGACAGTTACAGGTTTGCCGAACAACTCATGTGAGCGACAACGAAATGATAACTGAGTGGGTGGCGATGAAGCTAGTGATGATGATGCGTGACGATTATGATGGTGAGCGATCGATGGATGATGGTGCTGGTGATGATGCAAATGATGATGATGGTGATGATGATGAGTTGTGATGATGATGCGTGCTGGTGATGACGACTGCTGGCGACGCGGTGTGGGCAATAACGATGCGGATGATAATGAGTGGGTGATTGAGTGGGTGAGTGGGTGAGTTGGTAAGTGTCGGAGTGAGTGAGTGAGTGTGAGTGAATGAGCGAGTTGGTGTGGGTTATTGTTCCTGCGCGGGGTGTCCAGAGAAAACCAGAAACCCACTTTGGATGTGGGGCAACAGAACCCCATTCGCCCTTTGGGAGGGGATCTAATTTAGGAGGGCCAGAAACATTGGGGATCGTTTTTTCCTGCAGCTGCATCGAGCCAAACCGCCCATATTTCTCATCCCCGATGCAAAAACGGGGACCTCAGTGATGTTACGTCTTCATCGTGCTATTAGAGAAATGGGTTCTTGTTTCCTCAATCATTCCAAGGGTCCGCGCTGGTTTCTTGGATCTGCCCTGGGCCCCCCAGGCGGTGCCTCTGGCGCAAGCCCCTGGCGAGCTCCGCGCGCCGGGGAGAGGGGTCCGTCGCCGATCGAAGAAATCGGCGCCGACCTCAGGAAATCTATGCTCATGCAACTTTTTAATGCAACTTTTTGTCCCTCCACCGTCGAGTGCCCAGATCTCCGCCGATATGTTTTAACTCTGGGCGCTTGTCTTCGATTTCGGCTTCCCGGGTTCGCATGGAACCCGGGGGCACTTGAAGCGCGGGCTGGGACAAAACAGCCAGGGAAGGGGTCGGGAGCTCTGGGGCCGCGGATTGCACACGTCATGCCGGAGGATGTCTGGGTGCGCACCGCCGCCAACTCGGATAGCGGGTCGCCTCCGGCCCTGGCACCCTCTCGGCGAGAGAGAATCGCGACAAACCATCTTCGGCCATGCTCGGCTTCCGTGGGCCCTCATTTGGACCTGGTGGGGCAGTCGAACAAAACAAACTAGGGTGAAGAACCGGTCAGGCCTCTGGGAAGCCACGTTGTGCAAATCACGACGTCGGATGTCTGGATGCCGTCCCGCTCCCTAGTTGTGCGCTGGGAGCGTTTTTTGGCCAATCGGCACTTTTCGCTCGGGCTCGACCAGGACTGCCTAGGAACAGCACCCCAGAGAATGGACGTCAGACGGGTGGAGGCGCCCCATTAAAAACGTAGAACACGGGCAGGTGGGCCACGGCCCGATCTCCGCCGCCCCTCCCAGCCCTCCCTCCGCGTCTGCCTCCCGTCGCCGATCTCGTTTGCCTATTTTTCTCATCCTTCCTTCCTCTCCCCGCTCTTTGCCCCCCGCCCCTTCCTCCTCGCTGCTTTTGCTCCGAGCGCTTCCATCCTCCCCATCATCTTCCAACTCCGCCTCCTGCCCCTCCTTCTCCTCTCTCTCATCCCCTTCTT